GTCGACGGACATTTAGTGTATCGCATCGCGATATGACTAAACTCGTGCACACTTCAATTTAAATCGCGCAAACCTATGCATTGCTTAAATATTATATATATATATATATATATAAATGTATGTAGATATATATAAATGTATTTATATACATATATATATACATATCATATATGCATGTATGCATGTATATGTATATATGATATATATATATATATGATACGTATATATATAGTGCAGATACATCTTCCAAAACAATTCAAATCTATTCATATTAAATTAAATCAAATATATATATATATATATATATAGTGCAGATACATCTTCCAAAACAATACAAATCTATTCACATTGAATTGAATCAAATCTTAGGCGGAGGTTGTGTGTAAGACGCTCATGATGCTGGGGGCAAAGGACTACTACGCATCACTCACGTATACACTCAAGGTTTAGGATCGAGATAAAACCCTAAATCCCCATATACACCACAATGTACTATTGCATCTCTATATTGTACTATGTGTGTACATGTGCAGATATACCTGTCCAGTCTTATTCGTTTTCACACATGTCTCCGTGTGTACTATGAAATACACCTTCCAGATCACAGACATGCCACCCCTGACGCGAATTGAAGAAGTGGTGCGTGAGAAGCTCATGATGCTGGGCAAGGAACTACCTTACACCACGCGCTCACAAATCAGCCGCATTCGCCGCATTGATAGTGGTGAAATTATTATCAATGTGGACATTATTGTGAAGCGAAAAAGCCAAATTGTAAGTTATGTGTTCACGTGCACCTAATTTGTATATGTATATCTATATATATATATATATATGCATATACCATACCCCTACATTAGATCATGGGTGTAGAACTTCTTATCTTTGATCCAATCTACCGGGAGATGGACGATACTGAGGAAGCTCTCGCTGTGTGTGAGTGTTTGAGAATTGATACCTGTGACCACTTGATTGGATCTGTGTACATATGCGATTGACCATCTCGTACGCGTCTCAGTGCGTCTTCGATGGCATTCTCCTGTGTATACCTGCATGTATGCAAGTATCTGTTTGCACTATATAGTGTTGGTTTTCCTTACAATACCACTTACCACTTTGAGTAGGATTTAGAATTTGTATGTTTATATTCTACAGTATGTATATATATATATATATATAGTGAGTGTGTGTGTGTGCTGTATATGTTGCCACGTGTTTTATCACATGAGTCTCTTTTCAAAGTCAATTTGCTCATGCATCGTGGATTGTATTGAAGTATACAAAGTACTTGTACATACATACATACATACATATATACATACGTACATACATACATACATACATACATAAGTATATACAAACATAACCGGATATACCTGCATATACATATAAGCATGATTATATATACACGCATGAGAATAACGATGGCTGACTTTCTTCATATTGAAATGTATTTTGACTTTGCAGAAAATAGTTCTGGGGAAACGGGGATGTCGGATACGCATCATGCGCGAGACTGTTCAGGCCGAGTTGTCTTCGATGTTCAACCAATTCGTAAGTACTATTGTATATGTATATGTATATGTATATATGTATATATATATACGTATATATATATATATGTATGTATGTATGTATGTATGCATGTATGTAAGTATATGTATGTGTGTATCTATATCGGAGTATATACATATCTATATATGTGTATATTTACAATTGTGTATATTTATATTCGTGCTTCAGTATGTGTGTAGATGTAAGTGTGCATGTGAAAATATATGTACACGCACAATTGTGTGTATTTATATATATAAGGATATGTATGATGACAATTTCTATATCTATATCTGTGTATTCGCATGAATATGTGTATTTGTATTTATGTATATATATCTGTGTATTTATATCTGTGCATATTTATAAGTGCGTATTTGTATATTCATGTGAGTATATTCATATATGCGTATAAGTACAATTATGTCTCTTTTGTGCATGAATCTGTGTATATACATAGATGAGTGCTTAACGGCCTTAAAAAAGCATTCATGGGAGCTAGGTAACAAACTTATCCTCTCACGGATCACCTTTATCTGCTGAGACCAGGAGTATCTATCTTCGGACAGTGTGCGTGCCGTATATGTGTGTGTGGCGAACAGGCATGTGCATAGATGGCGACCTAGTGCATCCATTCGCAATTGACTTTGATTTTTTATATCCTATTGATCTACCGAACGCTGCCATCTCTCAAAGTGACTATGTTCATTCCATACATTTGCACCCAAAACCCAAACACCCGACTTTTGATTGTTATTGCTCTCCTATCTGAATCTGTTTATAACATCAGACTGTATACGACCGGCATTGTATACTTATCCCATTCTATCTTGCTGTGGCGCTATACAGGTAAACGTCGATATGCAAGTTAAACTTTAGTGCGTAACTGACTATCACGCTTGCTGCTCTCGAGGGTCTGTAAACCTGAAGCCATGGCGAAAGAGAGTGGATGCCAGCTCACGGGCGGCGTAAACACTATTGCCAGTCTTACCTACCTTCACGAAGGTTCCCAATGGTCCCTGTACGAAGAATGCTTTTGGGGCATGTAACCACAAATCACATTAGCCGTTGGGTAGTATCTGGTTGCTGCTGTGTGTGCGGGTCTGGAAGGTATAAGGACACCGAAACTCTGCAGGTGCTTCTCAGATATGATCTACGCGTAGTGTCACTATTGGCCGATCTCGAAATAGGAATGACCCAAAAAAAAAAGGGATTTGCCGTCCATCGCCGTGTGTATATTCCGGTACAGAGTGGTGACACCAATTAAATAATGAAGTTCAGTGAGAAACTGAGAGTGAACGAAAGACATGACGGACAAAATATGACAGCATCATTTAACGATTACATCGTATCATTTACCTCTTGCACTACCAGTTAAAATTGTCAGTATCACCCTCGTCTACACTCCTGAGCATAGTGTGGTGTATTGTGGAAGACACTCTTTTTGTGTAGATACGCCGATTTTTCAAACGAGGATAAGTGGTTTATACTTAATATAGCCTTGTTTCTAGGCATCCCGGGCTTGCCTTGAAAGTCACAACATCGCGTAGGTGTGTCAATTTCTCACGTAAAAGAATTGATCGCTACATCAAGTAGAATGCATGGGCTCTACCTAATCTATCACATACAGGATTTCGAACAGTATATGGTGCTTTGCATATAGTAATTTGTTGTTAATTCCTAGCGCCCACAGATACAGCTTTTTTTTGCCACGGTTGTAGATTCGAAACTAGGTCAATGTGTGTGCATAGGAAAGTTGCACAGCATTTAGTCGTATCGAAAGGTACGTGAACAGATCATCAACACGTCTACTGGTGTCATGAATCGCTTTTTCAAACAGACAAAATTCATAGTTGTATATTGACCATTACATTTTGATTGAAAACAAGTATTGCATACTATGTGATGGAACGGATCAGTCTTCTCGACTGCACGACAGTCTGAATAATTTAACACACACATAATAGTTGGCTTGAAATTTCATGGCAAGTGGTATAGTGAGCATGCACAAGCACTCTACAGCTGTAATAGATCCGTAATTGGCCTAACGATCATTGAACAAGTGCGACAACCTCCGCCGTGTATCGACAATAAACATACATCTTTCCATAGCAATTTGCGGCAAGACATCACAACTCAGTTTACATACATACAATTGTGCCAACTTGATACTTCAATCATTCTGTCATCTAAATTCCCCATTAGCTTTCCGACCTTGTGTAATTCTTTTTAGAAGAGCAAGCATGTGTTGCGAAATTCACAGAACATATACGAGCTATAAGTATTCACTACGAGCACGCTCTATAAGCATCAAATCAACAGAAAAATGGGTACAATATCACGTCTATTATGCGATAGTCAGAAATAACGCTTGTTTTATCAAACATTGACGTAACCGAACAACTGCAAGATTCTGGCCAATGTTCACACATTATAAACACTTTGCCTAAAATTCTGTTGTAGATTTAAAGATGTCACGGGATGCATTTTTTCTAAAATAAAATAAAACAAATGTAACATTCCTCGAATATTTCTAAATATCTGTTTTTATGTATTCTATTCATGTACAACTTTCTCGAGTGTAGGATGTCTCATCACCTTGTATCTAGTATAGACTCTGTGGTAAACAATTATCGAACTATTCAGAAATCTAAAAATATAAATATCTGTATATGCAGGTATTGTTCTTATGTTTCAGGAACTAAGGTTCGGGAAACCGAATTAGAATATGTAATGTACCATGTGTTATTTGCTAAGAATAAAGGTTGATGTCAGAATCCTAAGCCAACGTAAGTCAAACTCGACCAATCTATTTAGCGAATGGCTAATGACGGCTGACGGGTAGTTGGCGATTGTAAGTGATTGAGTGTGTACTGTGTATTCTGACTATCACTTTTTTATGGGTTTATAGAGATAAAGGTTATTCATTTTGATAGGCTGTATAATGTATATGTAAATATTGTAGATTGTCTGTGGTATCTGGAAGTGTCAACATACGTGTGTATCTAGCAATTTATATTGTATCTAGCTCTTGGGACAATATGTATGGTAAATATAATCAAGCATTGTATCCTGAACAATTGCATTTTGATTTAAATACGTTTGCAGAAAAATATGAAACAACTCGCACAAAAAAAGACGACGAAGTATGTACATATTAATTAATGTGAAAAAATACGAAACCTTTGTATGTATTCACAAATACGAATCTTTGTATGCATACGTATTCACATTTTTATATATTACAAACAAAAATAGAAAATAAAAACATCAATCACTCCAGCACTCCCGACCTCTCCTCCAAGTTCTCAGTCTCCCCCAGAAAAGGCGGTCAGTCTTGTCAGGCAATCGCCAATTCATACATACATAGTTACTCACAGAAAGTAAAAACACAAAAATTCAAGAACACCACCCACTCTGACTCTTGTTGTGTGTGTACTGTGAAGACTTGAACTTGCACTAATGGACTCTCTTGAGTCTTGTGTGTTGGGCACTTGGGCTTTTGGCAGTTGGCAGTTGGCAGTTGGCACTTGGCACTTGGCACTTGGCCCCGACTTGAGCCTTGGCAGTTGGCACTAACTTTTTAAACAGTAAACACGCCTGCAGTTGGCTCCACAGTCCAGACTCCACGGGTCATGTCTACGCGTGGCCCGGGTCGGTGACACGGTGTTCTGCCGGACTCTCTGCAGTCTGCACTCCGCAGTTTTGTTTTTAAAAATCTTAAAAAAACAAAGCAAAACAGAAACGTTAATATGTAAATATAGTAATATACCCGCCTACCGCTAAATACAGCCTGCGAGGCTGCGCCGCCGAGCCCTACATACGGCCTAAATATGTATTAAAAAATGTCTTTATTTACGGGCTATTTATGCCGCTACATACGGCCCACGCATATGTACGGCCTATGTATATAAAATGTGAAAATAAACAATACTAAAATAGTTCACTGTGTAGTAAAAACATATGTATTGT